ATGTGTAAGCTTGCTGCTTTTTGCCGCAAAAGTGCCAAGTGCCTTTTATGGCTGTATGTCTTACTGGGATCTGCAGATGAAGGCCACCATCCGTTCACGCTTTAAGCAGTTGCTTATCAGTGTGGGGCCTGAGCAGCTTCCATGCAAAATCAGTCCCTCCGTGGAGAATCCCATCTGAACTGGGTGGACATGCATGCAGGAGTGAGACTTTAACCCCGAATATAAGCAGGTAGTGGGGTGTTAAGGTCCATGTAGCAGTGAGCATTTCAATTTGCTCTCTTAGCAATGTTAAAACACAGTGGGTCAAACTACCAGTTCAGTTCTAGCCTGGAGCCTGCAGGAACAGATGTTTCTGCTCACTATCCCCTTAACCCCTGCTCTGCTGCCAGGACACCACTGCACTCTGCAGCTCTCACTTGAAAGGCAATGCTCAACATCTGGGCAGACATCCCAGCAGAGGGTTAAACACCAGCTGGTAACCCATAATGGGATCATTAGAGGTTTGGAGAAGCTGCAGATTGGAAAGAATAATGAATAAATTAAAGACTTAAAAGATTTCTTTATCACTGGCTAACAGCAGCACCTGGAGAAAATTCAGTGAAGAACAAAAGACGGAGAGGTACGATGGGGCTGAAAGGCCTTCTGAAAGAGACGTGGTGTGAATAAAAATGCAGAAGTGTAAATACCTATAAAAATTGAACCAAGCCAGAGATTCTCCTAAAATTGGCTGTCTCCTCTGTAGGTTTCATGTAAGAAAAACTGTAATGCTTCTAACAAAATTTAGTTCCATAACCAGATTACATCTCCAATTAAGGGATGTTAAAAAACAGACTTTCCTGGAAGTCCTGCAATTCACTCTGTGGGAAATGGTGTGAATAGCATGGCTAATGAGGACAACTTTACTTCTGCCAAAGTTATTCTTCCTTTCCTGTCACCTTTGCCTTAGCAGGAATAGCTTTCTTATCTGTCTATTATTTGTGTGGAGTTTTCTGTTGAGGAAATCTACAACCTTCCAGACTCTGCAATATGCTTATCTTTCCAGTTCCTTAGTTCTAGACACCAGCACTAATGATGGGCTCTGTCCTTTGCACACAGATATCCATAATGTAGAGAGCTCCAGCACAGCTGACTGGGAGGTTACCATGACAAGCAGCCATACATAGCTGTCTGCACTGTACTGCTGCTAAGCGAAGTCTCCACATGCAGCTTCCTTGCTGCAGATCAAAATGCTACACTGTTCTTCCTAGACCATCATCCTTGCTGGCCTCTTGCTGCTTCTGGCATGCACTTGCATCCAGAAAGCAGAGCAGGGTCCAAGCATGCTCATATTTCATGTATAACTGGAATGCTTTAGCTGAATGAGCCAGGTCCTCCTTGGAGAGAACAGAACAGGAGTTTTGCCAGGATCTGGCACTGACAACACCTTCCTTAATTTTTACTGTGTTTACCAGCAGTTTGTCGTCCCTCAGATAGGTATCATTCCTTTTGTAAATATTTCCAGCTCAATTGCTGCCAAAGATTTTCTGGAACTTCAGCATCCCATTCTCATAACCCTTCCTATACTCCCATGAGTATCTGAGAAGCTACAGGGCAGCCCAAACTGAGCAGCCAGGATGTTTTTTTTCCAGCCCGGAGTGGTCCTGAAACTCCAATTTGCATCTCCTTCCATCATTTCAATCCTTCAAATATATTTTCCCAAATTACACTTGCCAATGTAGGATTACAGAGGAAGAATTTTTCTCTCCTTGCCAGAGATACAAGGATGGCTGTCGCAGTAATGGCAGCAGTTTCCTGATAACATGATATGTGGTACCGATAAATGCTTCAGAAATGATGTATTTTACAGTGTGACTACTGCAATTTTTTCTCTCCCACACAAGGATTAATTGCTCACTGCAAGCTACACTTCTGCTTTCATAGTATTAGGTCCTTATCTGCCCTGCAGCCTCCATGTGCTGATTTGCCCCACAACTGGAGCACAAGGCAGGGATCCCAGCCTGCCTGCACTTCAGTCCAGCCCCATCCAGGCAAAATTCAGGGCCCCAAAGTTCTTCACACAAAAACTGTTTTCCTATCCAGAATCCCCTTTAAATTTGGATCACATTAAAATGACAGTTGCCTACACTTAAGGAAGTACATGCAGCATGCTGCTCTCCTGCAACACTTTATTTCTACAAGCCATAGTGGCTCCTTTTAGATTAAATATCTTTGAAACAATTCAGCCTAAAATACTGGATTGATGTCTGCAAAACGAACACCTCTTTAAAGTTCTACAGAAATAACTTGTAAATGAGACGTCAGCATTAAATATCTGAAAGCATAAACATTTTCTAAAGCCTATTACAAAACAGCTTGAGTAGAAAGGTCTGAACAACAACAGCTTAATCTGGCCCATGCATCACACCTCCCTTCTGGAGCAGGCACAGCTCCACTAATTACAGCCTCCAAGAGATGATAATTATGGGAGCAGACAGGTACCCCAGGCAGCACCACGACATTTCGTTCAGCTGCGTGCTTTCCCTGGCAGTTGTGCCTTGGTGGCAACCTTCCTCCGACCTTCCCAACAGGGAGTGCAGCTCGGTGATGACTGAGGCATCCAGTAATTCTGCTATCAACATGGGACACAGCAAGACGGACCAATTCCCTGTGTGCTGTAACAAATCTGCTAAAGAGAGGAATGCCTTCAGCTGCAGTTTCACACTCTGCAATTGGTTTCAGTATAAAACAGAATTTCACTTGTAAAAAGCCTAATCTGGAACAGAAGCGCTGATGCTTAACCTCAGAGTGCTAAATTCTCCCCTGTGCCTTCTGAGAAATAATGGAAGCTTCTGTCCTGCGTGTAAGGCCTCCCCCCCATCATTTATGAAACACAAAATACTCCAGGCAGCGCTTTCAAATAAGCCCGTTCAATTACTGAAAAATTACCTTTTACCTGTTCAACTGAGCTGAGAACACACAGCTTAGAAAGAATTCAATTATGTTTTCACACATGCAGCAATGAATGTGCTCTGCAGAAACATGTCAGACTGAATATTCATATACTTATTTCCAGTGATCTGAAATTCACTGCAGCAGTGGGTGAGGGTGAAGGCTTTTATCTGTGGGCGAAGCATGCCCTTTGTCTAAATGCTGTACAACATGTGGCAATTACAAGCAAAACATCTGATACAACTACCAGTGAACTACCACGTCCCAAGTTTTACTTTTGTATGTTGAAGGACATCTAAAATTTGTATAAAAACATCCAGTAAATTCCCTTTAGTTTCCCTGTCTCTGTGTGCTTTTGCCGACCAATTCTCAATATTTCATTGATTTATCTCATAGCCCAGTCCCTACTTCATCTGAGCTTACTGTGAGGAAGAAATGGGAACAACAGTTCCTGCATCTTCACCTGCTCTCCAAACCCATATGAGCTTCCAGTGGAAACAAATAAAGCAAAAGAGCAAAAACAACCATGGTAGAAACTGCACAGACTTCTGTGACTGTTTCATTTGCTAGTAATTCAGTTAAAATAGCATTTGCTTGCACAGATCTGCATAAGATGATGGAAAACTACAGGTACCAGTGAAGAAGTCTTAATTACCAGTGGATGTGGCAGGCCTTCAGCCTGTGAGCGGAGCACTCTGTCTACCTAACCCCACTCCTCTTGTCGTTGCGATGGCTTCTACTCCTCCTGGCAAGGAAAGTATGTTAGAAACAGCTGCTATTCCTCCTTCTGCTGCTTTCCCTCAGTGGGAGGATGGCAGGAATAGTTGCCAGCAAGGCAATGGCTCAGCTGATGCCAGCTATTTTTACACAAGAGCACAGTCTTGCAGGCTGCTGCTGCCCACCTGCTCAGAAATCTAGCTGAGCACTTTGCAGGATAAGGACCTATGATGCTGCCTTTTGCACTGCAAATTGCCTCCAAGGTAACTAATACTTTAAACACTTCAATTTTGTTCAGCCGAAGTACAAGAAAAGACTTAATCCAACTACTAATGAGATCCTGAGGTATAGTTCCACTGTAATCAGCAGTGGAAGCTACATCAGGTCCAAATGTGACATTTTCAAGCACAGGTACCTGGAAATAAGGATGCAGCTCTCCAGTCACTTCAAGCTACTATTAAGCTACTATTATCTGGTTTTTTTTTTTTGAGCTGTCATCAGATGAAAGTCTTGCCCTCTCCTTTGTACTGCATTTCCACTCACATGAGGTGGATCGAGTGGCAGATCTGGCTGAAAATTCACCTTATGGCTGAGTTACTTTTAATCTAGAGCTTTCTAGTGTCACCTACTGTGTAGCTGTATAAAACCATATGGCAACAAAAAGGAGATGGTGAAGGAGTGAAGGCAGGGGCTCTTTCAGTAACGGGCACCATATCATTGTTGTAGAAGCATTTTTACAGTTCTTACCCCAAACTGCCTATCCAGAAAAATGACATCTAACCCCAAGCAGCAAGAAAACAATCAGTTATGAAATGCGAGCTACTGCAACTTCCCTTTGAAGTCTTTGAGAGCACTGCATTATACAAAAGATCACTGGTATTCCACTGCAAAAACTGAAATAAAACTACGAAAATTTCAAAATTTTGAATACTTTTGCTTTTGCTTTTCCCTGTACAAAAATTTCATAGCATGATATTCAACTTTCACAATTGCTTTACAGTCAATTAAAAGACAAAGTTCAAGTTCTTGCACCCGATGTGGCATTCACAGCCAACCAGCAAACAACCGCAGGAATCAACTGAACCAGCATGAAGCCTGTCTCTATATTGCATCCAGTCCCCTTGCTTATTGCAGTACCACCCAACTGAATCCAAAACCTATTATCAGTGGACTCATTTTGAAATAAAACTTTAACAGAGGACTTGTTGCTGTGTCATTCTCCAAAGGATTTCCCTGCGGCAGTATGCCTTCCCTAAAAAATGTCATTATTAATGGAATTAATTTCTTACAGAGGTTTACAAGTCAGGTCAGTTACTAGAGCAATTATCATCAAATCCAAGCCAGCGTATTATCAGTCAGTGCTGATACGTGAACCCAACAGATAATAACTATCCTAGAAATGTCCTGGAGTAATGAAGATACACATAAAAAAGCAGATCTTCATTCATGCTCAACATTGATATATAACAGCAAATTCACCCCTTGCTTCCCAAATATAAGCCACCTCTATTTCCCAGTTAGCTAGCCAGCACAATGAGCATTAAGAGCATCAGTCATCAGCAGAACTATGCTTACATATGTCAGTAAATCGATTCACCACTAACATCTGCCTCAAAAAAGTTTTGTTTGGCAGTTCTTACTGCCTTCCCACCTGGGAAATGAAAATATCCACATGTCACTATGTACAAGACTGCTTCTCATATGTAAAAGAATTCTAATTTTACATCTTCAGCTGACTGCTAACTGCACAAGATTCTCAACTTACTATTATGTTTATAACCCCAAGTCCTTACAATGCTAAGGGATATGAGCACATGCGAGGAGGAGATCAAGAAAAGTCCATTCAAATGAGAAAAGTGAGAAGAGGAAAAGGAAACCACACAACACCCCAATGTAAGACCCATCCACCAAGGCCTTGGCAGAAGAGAGGAGCTTTGCACTGTGAATGGAAAGAACAAACTTGAGCTATGGTGAATGGCAGATGGGAACCGGTTTCATAATCAGAGACCTACTGTGGAATATGCTTGAGTATACATGGACAAAGAAACATAACTTGTGAGTAATTCTAGATGCAGCTAATCAGTGCACATATATATATACTAACACCATGAAAATATTTGGATTTGGTACTTGTTAGAAAGCTTTCATTATAAACTCCAAACAAATATTAGTTTGGAGCAAAGAGCGCGTTAATAGGACACAAACATTTTAGCAGGATGGCAATATTTGATGAAATACGGGAACACATATTAAAAAAGTCTTTAGACAAAACGCTTTTTTTCTTAAGACTTAACAGAATGTCTGGTATCAATTGCCAAAATTTTACCTACCTTCTCAACCGGGGTATTTTCTTCACTTGTTACACTTGCTTTTCTTGATTCATTTTTTGTTCTGCTCAGCCTCCGGGAGACCTTCTCTCTAAGCAAAGTGGCGTATCCAATGTGTTCGTAGATGGGATTTGTTGTCATTTTGGAAATATACTCAGAAGCCTTTGTTTCTATATACAATGTTATCAAGCCATCTGTTACTAGATCATGGATTGATTCAAATCTTTTCTCCCCAACGAAGTGCTTCCCATCATAGAACAACCTGTAGTTTAAGGTCTGATTGCCAAATCTACACATACAAGGAGGAAGAGGACAAAAAGACAGAGGGAAGAATATTAGAGGGACTTCATACTTCAAAACACTTGAAGAGATTATTTTGCTGACAGGTCAAACTGTCTGGACTGCATATGGAACATGCACATGGTGCAAATGCATCTCTGTGGTGCCCCAACTCAAATCAGAATCCAAACCTAACCGCACCCCATGAAGTAGGATACAAGCCACATGACTCTGGTATACGTGGGTTGAATATAAATCCTGAAGGGCCTACAAAAACCAAGAGAAGGGCATGTTGTCACTGACATGACCTTACGTGGGATGCATACTTTTGTTGAGGGCTGGTTTGTCCTGAAATGTTTCTGAGGTCCAGAAACTGGAGAATTTTAACAATCATGGCCATTACTTACAGCCACTGAAAAGATGGGCACTTTTAGCAAGCAACTTAAAGGTCTGAGCCACTCTTCTGGCAGGGAGCCAGGGAGACTGAGCTCCTAATTCTGGGAGGTGTAAACTATGTGTAAATTCATGGCAGATGTAAACTTCATTTTTTTAAAAATAGATGAAAAGGTGAAGCGTTGCAGCAGCATGTTCTGCTACAACACCAGTGTGGAATTCTACTCTTGACTAAAGGATTCAATGATACGACACGGTTATGTGGACCTATGCTGCACCAAATATGTACATTTTGTGCACTTCCTACTGCATTCAAATCAAATGGTGTAAGTCTTTTATTTTTTCACCCAAGTTTTTCATATGAATTCTCAATTTATAATCAACTTCATTTTTTGAGTCTACAAATATTATCTGGATGGACTTAGAAATCATGCAGCAGTGTCAAAACAGCAGGGAATCTGCCATAATCCCCATCCTTTGGTAGTTCTTTTATTCTTTAAATCTCTCTCCAAAACCTTAAGAAATTACATTTGTTCTTTTTCAGCTGACAAAAGTTGCTTTTAATTTACAACACTTTGCAATTGGCATGACTCACCAGCTTTCCAACTCTACCATCTGCACATCAATATGAACTCTCAGAAGGATTTCAGCACCATTTCACAGCTACTTGGGATAAGCAGTTTTGCTACTGGCTTACTAGTAGGAGGGTGAAAATGAGAACTTCTATTTTGTGCATGTCCCACAGAAGGAATAATGCTAAAAGCACTGTGATATATTGCCAAGTAGTTTGTTTTGACAAAATCCATAGAATATCTGGTCCTTTTAACATTAACACAGAATACCTTTAAGACTGCCACATGGGAAGGTTTTGGATGGAACAGCCAAGACAGGAGCAGCTGTATCTTCAAGGAAAGGCACCTATTATAGGCTGTGAGGCTGTAGCTTGGGATCTCATGGAATTTTCAGTTCAGGTGTACAACAGACTTTCTCCTCTGAGCATCCCATGCTTCACATTGTATTCTACAGTGAGCTTGAATTTCACTCAGAAGAAGAAGAAAACTGACCTCTTATCTGCTGCTGGACCTCATGATTTTCCTGGGTCTGATTCTTTAAATATCATCTCCTGTTGCTGGTATTGGTGTAAAACACATCACAGAGCTCAGAGAACAACCTAGCTGAGTCCTCTGTTGGGTCATTCTTCCTTTATCCTCACCTCCATATTGTAGAGTTTTGAAATAGAAACTGAATGTTTATCCCACTGCAATGCTCAATTCTAGGTAGCAGAAATGTTGAAAACTGGTTTCAGAAGCCACTGCCTATCTCCTAGCCAAGCACTAACACACAGACAAAGTGTGTTAGTAACTGTGTGCTGCAATAGTCAGGTTGCTGACAAGAGGGTGCAAAACCACCCCAAAACCATGCAGTGTTTTAAGTGCCGGTGGGTGCAGACATCCCTCAGGCAGGACTGACATCGCCTCCTCCATCAAGCACCTTTACAGCTGAACAGTAAATCCCTATTAAAACAGTATTTACCTGAGAGCAAGTGTGTAGCAGCCGGGTTGCCTCTGGCTTTCTCTTAGGATGTACGCTCCTTCTACACCAGCAAGTATCTCATCTGCTTGCTCCCGAGAAATGATCCCATGGAACCTAAGGGAAGATATTAAGGCAACTGTCAGAAAAACCTAACCAGAAATGCCTCCCTGCTCTATTCCAGAAACTACTGAAAAGCTTCTGAAATGAGACTGCTGTTGCAGCAGGACACAACACTGTTTCACATTTATGTGAGAACCTGGCAAGTGAGAAGCAAAGAGTAAACAATAGCTAAGTGATTCCCCAAAATCTTTTTCCATTAATATACCATGTTTTTACAACTTTTCTCCTCTATCAGTCAATGCTTCTCTTCTTTATTTCCTCTGTAGAAGCTTTGTGGGGACAGAATAGAAAAATGGGCAATAATGGTAATATTTTTATTTTAAATGGAGATTATTTCAAAAGAAGAGGTCATTCTTATTACTAGTTTGCTTTAGCTTTTAATACTGCTTCCTTAAGTTTGTAGCTGAAACTGAGAAGAAAAATGACAACACTCAAAATTCTTTTCCGTACATTCTGAAGTAGAAGATATTTCACATCCTTGAGAAAAACAGTGTTTTCTTTATTTCAGTCAAGTTCCTCATTCTGCGTAGCAGTACTTCTGTGATTATTTTGCCATTGTATTTTATGAAAGAAAGAGGCCGTAGGATGCACAATTAGCCTTACAGTAATCAATGTTTAGCTGTGATCCTTCTGTAAGTACAGTCTTTACAGCAGTTTCAGTCTTAACTCCTACACGCATTTTGCTAGCTCATAACTTACCAAGGGTCAACTCAGAGGTTTTGAAAGTTTCTATTTTTGCCATTGTCTCTGAAAAATGGCACCAAATTGTACTGACCTGAAGTGTTTTCTCTTTTCTGACAGTACATTTGAAGTGGCATATTTCTAACACTGCCTCTGGCATGGTAGTGGAAGAGAAGAAAAACACACTGGATGTAAATGCAATTGTTGTCCTATTCTCTTAAGTTGTATTTTCACAACTAATATATGCTGGAAAAATTAGATTTTGGTGATTCTACCATAGTAACTTTATATTCAAAAACACGTAAATTGATTCATACTTTCTTTCTGTACTGCTGGGGACACATCATTTCCTGCTGCATCCAAATCAAAACAAGCATCCTCTAGATGACATATTTTAAGCTTGTTTTTACTATTAAACTCGTGGCAACTTCTACACCTAGTTAAAAATAATGAGCATTACCAGAAGCTTATTATAAAATAAAGCAAGCTTTAGTGTAGTTAGTAGGAAAAAAACCTCTCCTGGTACTTAATATAGGAAACTACTGGGACAGGATACCTGGGGCATCTGTGAAATTTCTTTAACCATGGATGTTAAGCACTGGGTAATCCGTGCATTTCTCATGTATGTTTTCAGTAAATATATGTATAAAACCAGTTGTGCACAGTATGAGATTGCCTGGATTCAGCCTCCTGTCTGTGACAGCAGGAGACAATAAATGTTCATGGAAAGAGTACAGGAAGCAGTCAAATACTTTCACTTCACATCCCTGTCCATCCATCCATCACTGGTTAAGCCAGAAGTTGTGTCCATCAGCTGTGACCTTACCCTTCATGAATCAGAGAGTCACACTTGGAAAAACTTCAATATCACTGTGCTTTTGGCCTCCTCAGCATCCCATGGCAATGAACCTGAGAAGGACACTGTGAACTCCCCTACTGGGCATTCACTGGGAAAGGGTTGTTTTTTATTCTATATCCTGCAGCCCATCACTTTGCTCTGCCTTTCATTGGTTCTACACTCTACATACAAGGGAGAAGGAATGGGTAGAGGGGGGCCAGAACTACCTGCACTGATTAAAATGCAGCCACTCTGTGGATTTATACAGTAATATAATTTCATGTTTTCTGTTTCTTTCCCTAGGAGGTCCTGATCCTCTTTCCAAGTACAACTGAGCACTGAGTCAGTTGCTGGCACAGGGCTGTCCCCGGTGGTTCTGAAGTCTTTCTGAGTGGTAAGAATGGATGTGATGTCCCCAAGGTGACTTCCTGCCAGCCTCACATACACCCACGGGATGCCAACTTGCATGCACAACATGGGTGAAAGGTTGTTGCAATGATTTTACAAGTCTTGCTTGAGACAGTGTGATGGCTTGCTTAGCTGGATGCTGTCTTTGGCTCTGTTGTACTCCCATGGCTAGATCTAAATTCCCTACTGTCAAAGATAGTATTAAAAAAAATGAAACGGTAATTAGGGGCAAACTGCTGGCTCTTGAGCTTCTCAATAGCAGAAAAGGATCGTTAAACACAGATGTGTCTGGGATGGAAGAAAATAAGAACATGGGATCTCAGCAGTTTAGCCAGTGATAAGATGTTAAGCCTCAGCAGATTACTCCAGTAAAGGCCAAATGCTAGCACTGCAAGTGGTACTGAACAAGGAGACCACGGTGGCAGCTGCAATGGCTTCTCCCTTTCAGCTTTACCTGCTCAAAATTCTTTGCAAATACTGAATCCAGCTCCTTTCAAGTAAGCTATTGACAGGCAGGAAAGCTGTTAAGCTTGAATAAATTATGCTCCAGTGGTCCCTTATTTTCCTTACAACAAAATATGCACCAACACTTTGGCCATTTTAGACCTCGTAACTTTACCAGGGTTAGCAGTACTTTGACACACAGTAGGTGTGTGCATTTCCATATCCAGCTGTGAGTGTTAGGGAGGAGGAAGCATAAGGACACCCTTAAAAAGGCACTGATGCCTTTTTAAATTGCCCATCGCAGGGCCACCAGCAGGTTAGAACAACAAGAAAAAAAGGAAAAAACCACTCAAAGTGATATCTCTTTTTCCCCAAACTGTCCTCATAAATATAAACCTGCAGGTTCCAATAGTGGCACAGATTGTGAGCAGCAGTACTGAACTGTAACATCAATAACATCGATACAATATTAGGCATTCAAGATACTTAGCTTTAAGTTGAAGCAAAAGGTAAAAGAAATTATTTGTCAGAACTCCACTGTGTTTTTTTGGTTGTTGTTTTAATTCTAGAACTACAACACCCAAGAGATACTTAAAAGAAAAGGATACTTACTCTCTTCCATAATACTTTGGTCTGTTCTCCACCTAGATTTTGAAAGAAAGGAAAAAATGTTTCAAACAGTTTAGATAAGCAACATAAAAAATTATGCTTAATGAGGACTTCTGCGCCCATCTAAGTGCTGAAATTCTGCAGATTCAAAACTGTGACCAGAACATGATGACCAGAACAGAACAGGAAAATAAAATGAGAAGAATTGCTTTTACTTATGGATTTCTAGAAGAATAGCACCCGTCAGAGGTTAAAAAAAACCAACAAAACAGAACTATATAAAATTGCATAAAATCTGATCAATTGCATAAAGAACATGTATTAGTATTTTTTGCTAGTCTAATACTATAAAATAAGACTATTTTCATTATATACCCTTTATCTCCTGATAAACTTTTTTTTTTTTTTTTTTTTTTTTGTCTATACATGGCAAATAACCTAAGATTAAAAAAAAAAAAAAGAGAGAAAAGAAAAGAATATTCTTGGGAAAAAACAAGGCTTCTGGTTTTAGATGAAGTCCTAATTACCTTGGAGTCTCAAGAACATGCGGGTCTGATCCAGAGTACACTGAGTTTGCTGGAAGGACACCCAATTATTCCAAAGACCTTTGGACCAAGTCCTAGGAATGCAATGTTTGCATACAGAAACTCGGGGTAGTCTGATGCTTGCATTTATTCCTCAGGCTCCAATAATTGGTAAGTTCTCTGAAAGCAAACCCCAGCCTTGTTAGCCCCTTATTTCCTTTGCCTTTCTCTCTGAACTGCTTCCCGGTTCCTGGAAGGGCTCTGCAGGTGATGCATGGCCCGGCGCGCAGCAGGCAGAGGCCGGCAGAGGGCACGGCTCCCCCAGCGTTCATCCTGCTCTGAGACCCACCCGATCCATCTGCAATTGGTCCGGGGACCCTCATTTACAGATCTCAGGATGTTCTTGCTTTGATTAAATCTCCTTATTTCACTCATAAAAACGTTACATTCATGGAGATCCTTTACTTCTAAATAACAAATGTTTCTTTTGATTCGATAATCTATACACTGTGCATTAAATTGAAGCAGCTGCCTTTGTACCCTGCAGCCACTAAGGCTCCAATGCAGTGCAAAGTGAACTAAAGTCTGTAGAAGATAATGAGAATCTTCAATGGAAGTCCTATGGGAGTTCAATCAAGTCCTGACTGTGCTTCCTTTCCAGCTCGACGTTTCTTTCCCAGCACAGCTCTGACAATAGCACTGTCATACCCTTGAAACTCCTGCCTAGGAATAATACTCTGATCCAAACATTTTGGAGCTTTGAGGGGCAGATTAAAAGCAAAAGGGAAACGAAGAAGAGAAGAAAGACCAAAATCAGAGAATTGCCAAGTGTAGGTACTGTGTTCCTGTGTGCAAATACGGCAACTCAGAAATAACAATATATTAATTCAATTTCTTTTTCAAACATTCTTAGTTCACTTCTCATATGACCACTGGAAATTTGAAAGGAGTATTCAGGCTTCATGTAAAAGTCATTCTCATCACACAGAAACTAGAAGAGATCAAAGAGGTCTTCATTAAAATTGTTACTATTCGAACCAGCCTAGCCCTGTCTCTGAACAATGTCATATTTTTTGTAAGTAAAAGAACTCAAGAAAAAGCTGTGTTATCTCAGAAAGAGAACGTGGTTGATACTTTCATAGAATCACAGAATCATTTGAGCTGGAAGGGACCTCTAAAACTAATCCTGTCCCACTCTCATGCAATGAACAGGAACACCTACAGCTATGTGAAGTGCTCGGTGCTCTGCCCAGCCTGACCTAGAATGTCTCCAGGGATGGGGCATCCACCACCTCTCCCAGCAATGAAAATGTTCATTTTGAGTAGCCTGACTTGGCTTTATCATCTTAGACCTCGTTCTTATGGACCTGAATGACCCTCCAAAATATATTTTTGGTTGGGAATTTAATTAAAAAATGGGTATCAGAAGCTGGGTTAGGTTTATGAGACCACATTCAATCCTCCCTATTGTGGAAGAAAAGGCCAATTTTCAGTACACTGAAAATGGTGACAAGGAACAAGCAGACAAAGTTTCACTCCCACAGAAAGCCAAATAAAACTTTCACATCACAGAAGGTGAAGTGTGACTTTCATCTTGGATTCAGAATCTGCTTCTTTAAAAAAAAGTGATTTGCCTTTGCCTTGATTCTATACACAGAGTAAACCTGAATCCTTTCAGTGTACCTCAGAGAGATAAAGAGGTGAGTTAGAAGTACTAGCACCTGCCATCAAAACTGCTTGTAAGCACAACTTTCCCCACAAATACAAAAAATATAATAAAAGTATAAAAGCAATCCGTAATCATCCCTGTCAGCAAATGGAGACACATTTTAAATCCCTCTCACAACACCTTTTTATGCAAAATTCCAAATTTGTCTGTGACACTTTTATCATTTAACAAGCAACCAACTGGAATGCCCTGCACACTGAGATTTCCCTTTTTCCTGCTGTTCGCAAGTTAAAAGATTTGCTTTTCTGAGATTCCACACAAAGCCCATCAAATCCTCTCTCCCTCGCCTCCTCCCTAAAGCAGAATTCCCTGCTTCAACACCTTTATAGCATCCATGTGTCTAAAACAGCCACAGTGTCAGCACTTTGTTTTAGGCAAGGAAGATATTGCAGTGCTCTGTGAAGTGAAGCTGCACATCTGCCTGACCATCCAGGAACACAAACGAAAGCTGTGTTGTGCTGGAATTGAGAAACTCTCTTCAGTGCTCACTGCCAGCTTTGGCCTGAAATAATCATTAAGCTCCTAAAACCAACTTCTCTGCTAGGAACAAACACAAAGAAACAAAGTTACAGTGAGAGAAAAGATCAAAATGACATCAGGGTCTCTAGATCAAACCCAGAATGTTGGATTGAACTTGGAAATAAAGCAAAAGCCAACACAATGGATGGAGCAGAAACTCAAAAGTATCAAAGCAGCCAGTAGTTCTGCTTTGCACTGACGGCAGATTCTGTACAGACTTCAAGGAAAAGCCTGTATCCCAAAAGGCAAAGGTGACTGAATTTAGTTGGGATTAGCTTTTCCTCTCCTACTATAAATGGGCTCGTGTGCATGCATACAGAGTCAGACAGATCTGACACAGAGAATCCTTCAAAAAGGACAGGACAGAAAACTCACAGGTAGACAAGTGACTGCTTCCAAGTTGCAGGAGCCCTCAGAATAATAAACCTTATTCTGAGGATATGAACACCTAATTGTTTTTATTTATTTTTTAATAGATTAAGGACAACAAAGAATACTTCTATCAACTGCCATACAGTCCACACAATTTCTTTGTTGAAAAAGCGACCACATTTCCCAGGTGGTTTTATACAACACTTCAACTCTTCTCTCTTAGACATTCAGCATGTGAGGAAATCTGAGGGGCTGAATCATTCAGGACCCTCACATAGACGGGACAAATAACATATGGCAAACAATAGGTTTTCAGTAGTGAAAATATATATTTACATTAAAGAACATTGTAACTTGCTTTTACTACTCCCACATAAAGGACAAATAAAATGGATTCTGTGTCTTCACTAAAAGTGACAGCTTTTAAGTAAAATGTGAGATAGTGATGTTCAGGCTTAGGAAAATGTATTGTTGCCAATCTCAAACCAAATAGATTGTTGCAGAGCAGGCACTTCTGGCCATTGCTCCAGAAATCTGGTGAAAAGCACTGAAAATTTGTACTGAAATGCACAGTTGCATGAATTATGAATTATCAGCGAATATCAAAATTGATCAGGAAATACAAATTATAGTGAAACAGCCTTAAATCAGTTCATCAGTCCTACAAAACCAGCAACATTCAACAACATCTAATTTTGAAGCACTCTCAAAGACAAATTAAACAGCCCTCCAAAGTCATTTATTTGGAAGATCGTTTTGAGAGGCTCTGCAAAGTCTATCCTTAGTCTATCCTTGACTCTGAGCCTGCCAAATCCACCCCTTCTCAGCCTCCAAAAAAGACTCACTCCTACATTTAATCTAGTTTTACAAGTTTTTTACAATGTTACAGCATATTTTTCAAGGTATGGAATCAGTTGCACTGGAGTTCAACCTCAACGCTGAGAAAGAATTATGCCTTCTACATAAAAACACAGTAGCTATCTAAGCTAATTCAATATACTACTTTCACATAATTTTTAAGTTTACTGAATTTTAGTGCTCTGGGATTTGTGGCTTCTCTTTTGGCCAGGATGGTTTAGCCCTAGAATAACATACTCTTGCTAATGTACAGATTATTGTATTAAAATCCTACAGCACTCTGCAGATAAGTCGTTGCAAAACTACAGGGAATCACACAGGCAGGAGGTGAGTATGCCCTAATGTAATAGATTTTCATTGCAAGCATCTACATCCAAGCCACACTGCACTGAAGATTTGAGATACCCTGAAGAGTTCCTAAGTACGATCACAGAAATAAGATGACTCTAATTCAAAAAAAATAAAAAATGAATTAATTTCTCTTCAGCTTCATTGCACAAGACATATTTCTTTATCCAGTGGCCAACACTGAAGTCAAGAAATGTTGTGATGAAAACTGAGAAATCCCTCTAGGACAGCAATCTGTCTAATTCAGAAGGGCCAGCATGATGTAACATCATAGGCCTACCTGTTTCAACACTGCTTTAATACAACCACAAGGAGGATATGAAAGGGGAAGGGGAACAATAAGATGCACAGCTTTTCGCTCATCTTCCCATTACACAGAAAGAACAGAGAAACAAGATCCAGGAGTTTAAAATGTCGGTGTGGTCAATCAGTGCAGGCAGTAAGACATTTTCCCAAAGGAATTTTAATCAGATATAGTTTTTGTTTGGAAAAAATATTATTTATTTTTCAGTAATTCTAGCTGACTAGCCATAAATACGGTTTTCAACTCAGCAAGAGAGAAATAGTAGTCTGGAAGAGAAGTCTTCAAAAGAATGGAGACTGTACAGAAAATGGAGTTTACTGTCCAAATTGTTCAGCTTTTGGCAAAAATGTCATGAGTCAACTGCAAACTTCTGCCTAGGAA